AAGTCTCAAAGTGGCAATTACGACTTCGGCGGCTTATCCCGCTATGGTCGAACATTTCGGGGAGATTGGGGGTTCCGTGCACGCGCAAGCGAGAGAAATGCATCTTGGTCGGTAGAACAATCACGTGGTCCGATTTACACAAGAAGGTCATTTAGTGTAAAGCCGACTGTTGATTATTGCTGTTCCAGGAGCATATACCGTTGCTGGCGCCGCTTTTTGAAAGCTGATGGGAGATGTCTACCCACCTTTGAGTACCTGACCTCTGGCTTGACGTCAAAACAAATTTTGAAAACAAATTAGGAACAACTTTCGTGAGAGGGGGTTAGGTACACTGCGAAAAGGGGTCGTTGTGGGGGGAGGGCCTGTTTCCACAAAAATTCTCTTCAAAGGAACTCAAGGTACATACAGTACCCCGGAAATTGCGCGTGAGATTGATTTTGAAATGCCCTACGTAGCCCTCACTACTTCTGGCGCGATATGCTCTACCCTAGCCGCGCGAGCGCAGACCTGCCGAGTTCGATCAGCGCGACCCCGGAGCGAAGATGAAAGTACATTTTGGGTATACAAGCTGTATAACACGAACTATTAAATGCATCTCAAACGATAACTAACTTGGGGTACGGTACTTTCGGTGGCGTGCGTTCACAACGCCACATTTTCACTTGACGCGCAATTTTTGGAGGTGCATACTGCCCCCAGCCTGACAACCTGAACTTATAATCATGTTGCCCCCAGCCTGACAACCTGAACTTATAATCATGTTGTTCATGGTACGCGTCGGAGTATTATGGACTTTAGAAAAAGTTGTTTCAAAGTAGTGGCACATGAGATGTTATAAGATGCGTAAGAAGGTCATCAAGTCCGTAGAAACCCGTCTCTCTTCCCTTTCTCGTATCTCTCTATTTTTCATTGCATCGTCGCCATTTGCATATCCCATTTGATAGCGAGGGTATTACTGAGGGCAGTTTTCATGCCCTCTACAGTAGTAAGCCAATCAGCACACTGCACTTCTGTTTTTGAACTCTATTACCTTCAACTAGAAATCTTGTGGAAAGTGCCTTCGAACCTTGCTCGCACGACCAAAGCGGAACCTACGTGAAAAACACATCACTAGTTGTGTGAAGTAGGCTCTAATTATGAATTGATACATTTCATTTTGTTTCAAGTTTCAAAAGCTTAAATATTTTATTCACAGACCAATACGGTTGAGAGAACATACATACTGATGGGTAATTAGCACACAGAGATGCTGGTAATGCATTTTCACTAAAACTGGTCACTATAATGCCTACAGAAAGGTGAATTATTACAGCTCGTATTTTGAAAGTTAAGCCCTGAACTATCACAGCTGTTAGCGAGTAGAACACCACACATTACTACAGACTGAAGTATAGTATAGTTCTCCGCGGACGGTTGGCGTGTCAGTGCGGCTGCGTTTGGCGCGGTGCCAAACCCATTCTCCACCAGTTTTAAAGCGAGCAAATGATATGACTGTATCATATCGATCGTATTACTCGTTTTCTACCACTTTTTGTCGCATGCGCGCTTGAACAAGAAGGCAGAGGCCTTGACGCTGTGCACACTCATACTGGCTGACACGCCCAACCGTCCGCAGCGAAGTAGAGTGTATGGAAAGTGAAAGGATACTATAACCAGTAAGTAAGTAGACAATCCCGGCCATCCATATTGTAATCTGGTACATGTGACACCTTATTGAATATGTAAGCGGCAACGGATACGTCGCGCTTGAAACTTACGCGAACTGTCGCGGCGCGGCTCAGCGGCGCTCCAAGCTGCGCCATGACGGTTCGCGTTAACGCCTCTGTAGAATCTTCATGATATTCTGAATAAACGAAAGGCAGTAGCCCTAACAACTACGTATATAACAACCATCGATCTTCTTCAAGGAATAGTTTGCGCAGGTGACTCCTGCTTCCAGACAGCGAGTGACCTTGCATTCTCTTCGGAACAGACCTCGCACACCACCAGCGCGATCTATCCGTTTAGGACAGATTCCCTCCATGACCAAATGGGCAGGACAGTCGCGCTATCTTTGATGATCCCCACCATCTGGGGCAATATATAGAAAAGAAGGCGCGCCAAAGAGGTCTGGCTCAGCCCATACAGTAATGTACGCTCAAGAAATCTCTTATATGTATATGGGTGCAGCTATTATGTTGTTACTGGGTTGAAGAAAAGGTTCCCCAAGACCCGTTACGGAATCCACCTTTATAAATAAAATCAGCCGAAGATAAACAGTAATTATTATTTACAAGCATAACTAAATATATTAAGCATTAAATCGAAGACAATATTAAAATATAAGTGAAAATATAACAAAATAAAGTATAGTACACTCAATATCTCAAGAGCAAATTGAAAGCTGAAGCTCTCGCTGACGTCATAACTATATAAACCGATCCTACAGAAAAGAAAACCATAAAATTTTAATTTTTTTGGCGGGGTTATAATCATAGAAAAAATAGGCCTGCCGAGAGATGGGCGAAGCTTCAGTTCCCTTTGCTTGCCACATTGGTACGCCTCCTTTTCACAGAACCGACTTAAGTAGAGGGGCACACCAGTGAGGATCCCTCAACAGTTTTTCCGTCTCCGCCCACGCGCTCATCGCGAAATGTGCTCCTTATTGTAAGAAACTTTTTCTTCATCCTGATTAATAAGACTAATCTGTGTGTTTAGTGGCATGAGTAGGAGTATCTAGAGCAATTCAAAGCCATGTTCGAGGGCTTGTTGCTTCTCGTCGTCGGTTGTCTCACGTAATGAATCATTCGTTGATGCTTCTTGGTACTGCACAGTGAATAACGGATCTTTGGTACGTTTCGATCCTTCACCGGGACCCAAATCCACGTCCACAACTTGGTTCTGGAAAGCAACGATAACACCACTGAGAGCTCAAGGAGGATACACTTGAAATTCACCACGAAAAAACACTTTGAAAACCCCGGAAAGTAAAATGAACAGAAAACAAACGCACGAGATTGAGAACGCGAAACGACTCGTCCATTTCCTCTCGAGTCCTGAACATGAACCCAACAACACAACTCGGATCCATGTCTTGGATGGGCAGCTTGGAAAAGGAACGACTGTGATAGGTGCCAATTGGATGTTTCCGACGCTTTTTCTGCAATCCAAGGCACTCCATAATATATGTCACTCCGAAGACAATAAACACGGGAACGCTTGAAGAAGAGGCACCACAGACACCCTTGGGATGACCGGATGGGCTGTGTAAGGGAATATCGACGCTCTCCCTCTTCCTAGCTTCTATAGCGGGTCACCAAGGGAGAAAAAGAAGCCCTTCCTTCACTGCTGTAGTAGGCGGGAAGCGCTGGGCTGCAGCAATGTCCTTTTTAACTGGTTCCCTACCCGGCAATCCCGAACAGTGCTCATATCAACGCATCACATGAGCACTATGCTTAGCCCACTGTGTATTCATGGGTGCAAATGGGCAGCCCTCGTTACAGTTCGTGTCACCATCGCGGCTCAGACCGCTCATGGAAAATGACGCGTCAGATCGCAAGTGTAGTTACAAGCAGGTCACATAATCGCTGGGGATCCCCCCAACAGAGGGAGGTCGTACTTGATCGCTGGGAGAGGTGGGTGGGTCGTATTGATGATTTCTCCTTTTTCAGGGGACGCTGTAAAAGGGACGGGGTCGTATTTGCTCATTGTCTGGACTGGGGGTCGTATATTGCTACTGGCTTTTGAAAACGGTTATTGATTTTTCGTGGATTTTCCTTTTTTTCATGCACTATATACCTGTTCCCTCGGCAACGAAAATTTGGGAAGAAGTGAGGAATTTTCCGGAAATTCCGGGCGGGAAATTGGGAAAATCTAGGAATGTGGTAGTTAGAATGGGGAAGGGGAAGGGGTCGTTGAAGCCTCATTTCAGGATGGGGGGGGGCGTACGGACTCGACAAAAACGTTTAGCTAATGATGTGCCCTGGTTACAAGTGAGTGGTCAGGTAGTTTAACACCCATGATGGTGGATAATTCCCAAAAGTTAAAAAATCAATAGTGATCGATCTCTTACACCAGAAACAAAACCGTGATTGCCAACCTTTTCTCCATCAACAGGCTCCGTTGGTATTGACAAGTCGTCCCAGCTCGAAATTGGAACATATTCATGTGCCACGTGAGGATCCAAGTAAATCACATTCTAAAGCTGTAGATTCTCACTGACCTGTTCATTCGTCCAGTAAGGATGAAGTATAAAGCAAAGGTTCTCCGTATCGTAACATTAGGGAGCACCGGTCTCAGGCGCGAGTGGCTTCTTCTTATTCCTACGACCTCACGGATATAATAGCCCTGCTTTCGCAGCCCAAGAATGCGAGCGGATAGCCGCGTGCTTGAAGAGGTTGCTACCCGCCCATCTAGCCGCTGCAGCAGTGCCCAACGTTCATTTCAAATGGTGGCCTGATGGTGCGGTTGCGGTGCTAACTCTGTCCACTTCCAATGGTGAGGATGATGTGATAAGAAAAAATAGCTAACACCAACAAGTGAGAACTCGTGCGAAAACGGCTTTTCTTCGCCTTATGCACGTACAACACCTCTGCACCCTTTTCGGGCTGAGGTTTCGATAGAGCATTTCCCCAAGATTTTTTCATGCACTTTTCTTTACTACTGAATCATTTGCCATACTGCTGTTACTATATGAACCGCACAGCTCATTATTTTCAAACGCGGGCTCAGCCTTCGAGCAGTAACTGACATGCACTTAGCACTGAAATTACTGACTATGAGTTCAGTGAGGGGAACTGCCTAATGTGAACACGTTTCAAATTTCTGCGGAAAAATTTGCTCCACCTCAACAAATACTTCAAAACGAAGATCGAAACTAACTTGTCCGTAGTATCCTATGAAGTAAAGTGAGTGATCTGGCTTGCCACCCAGGATTCCTAGACACGTTTTGAGCGACAACATCTGACGAACATGGTTTATGTACACCTTAATTAATGTCAACATTACAAAAGTAACCTGTAAGAAAGTCGCATTCCATCCAGGGCACGCCATCTTTGTGATCATCACAACGGGGGGTCGTATTTGCCCGCGATGGAGGGGGGGGGTCGTAAACGCATGGCCCATGTTGAAGTGGAGAGAGCGGTGATACACGGTACAAGTGAAAAGAAGCTCAAAAGGGACGATGTAGATGACAATAAATAGAACTAGGCACTATCGAACTATTCCTAGGCCAAGAACTAAAAAAATATTGCTGAAACTTTTTCCTCCTTCCTCACAAAAAAAGACACTTCGCCCACCAACCCTCCTCATCTGGTCTAGATAAATCCCAATCCACTAATCCGCAAAATCTAGAAAAGAATCCATTGCAAAAGCTACCTATGAAACCGTAGAAATTGAATCCTGAGCAATTTCCTCACAACAAAATCAAACTCAACAAAACAAAATCAAACTCAACAAAAACAAACAATCAAAATAATTCACAATCAAATGGATAAGAAAAAACTCACCAGGCCAGCTGGGAACCGGAACTATGGATTACTTTTGAATTTTGGCTGTTCGCGGTCAGCGCGCTCATACAAGCTCATTGGTGCGCGCTATTTTACGGCCTGGAGCCAATTTCAAGCCAAACACGTGAAAAGTACCCCTCATTTGAACACCCATAACTTCGTTGAAAGTGAAGCTATCGGAGAGGGGTAAGTGGGAATGAGTAGAGCTAGGTTGGCTCTTGTCACCTGAATTGAGCGATTTCAAAAACGTTCCGATTCCAGAGATTTTCCCCGTTGTGATCATCGTTGTGATCCGTCTGTGATCATTTTTGCGAACCGCGAGTCGCTACGCTTTGGACGTCCATGGCAAGCTTCATACACGGCCTTTCGTAAAAAAAAGAATTGTGCCGGAAGCTTGAAGATTTCTACTTTCCAGCAAGGCTTTAATTTTCTTCCTAGGCCTGCTATTCGAAAAAATTCCCCGTTGTGATCATTTCGTGCTCACCCCCACGACACGAAAAATCAACCCCTCCGAGGCCAGGAAACCTCCAGTTGGCTTGAAGACTTTGGTATGCTTCTGAAACACATGTTTCCGCAAAGGGTATTGAAGAATAGGTCTAATGGGCGCCAATTGGCATCACCTGTGCAATGCGCCATGCATGGGGCTTTCACGCAGGTTTTGGAAAGGTGTAACTTCTAGATAGGGCTTCCCAATTGCAAGCAAATGTGCTCCTACGATCAGAAAAGTCCGGGAATGTACTTTCATCTGTTTATTAATCGTCACGTCGTGAGTCCTTTTGTTTGTTTATAAATTCATGGTGCCCTTGTGGGCGGTGATCGTAGCTCCTATCATCGCCCCTTCCTCGTACGTATTGTCAGTATGCTACACCAGCGCCAGAGTGCTGGACGTGCTTGGGACGTACGTAGGTACTGCGACCCCCCCCCCGCTCGACAGCAAAATTTTGTAAAAAAACCAGAAATTTTTGGGAAAAAATAGACAAAGTGGTAGGAGGTTGGAAAAATCTAGGGAAGAGGTAACATGGGGAGGGGGGTCGTACTTGAAGATGGAATTAGGGGGGGTCGTATTTTTCAGGAAATGATCACAACGCAATGGCGTGCCCTGATTCCATCTCATATTTCTTGATACATAGCCAATACATACCGGATTTACACTGTTACCGCCTAGACGGAGAGGGACGAATGCCAGCAGGCGCTTTGACCAATGGCGACACTCACGCTCAGCTTCACCTATTATAACCAATCCATCGACGGCTAACAGTAAAGCAAGATCACTGGTCAAAGGGGAAGCAGACCGTTTCAACGCTCTCCTGAAAGAATAAAGAAATAGCTTTGTTCATGTTACTTTTGATGACTCGTGAACGAAACCAACTTTACTAATGAGATGACTTCGCAAGGAGAAAACCACCGTCCGATAGAATGCTCAGCAGACTCTTCAGCGTTCAAAAGTTCGAGTAGCCGATGAATTCCAAGAGGTGCAGACGGACAATCCTTCAAAGAAAATTAGTTTTTGCCGGAATTGACTGAATTCACATCAAAGTTTTCTCAAGCAGTTAATTTGGTACACACCGCAGAATCTACACCCCTCCCCCCCAAATTTTTGCATCAATTCATTACGAACTACGGTTCGTAGTAGAGTGTACTATAAGGCAGCGTTCGGACTCGCAACAGTAGCGCTTCGGTAGCGCGTTCGACATGATCGATCACGCATGCTTTCAACTGCGTCCATCGCGTAGAACGTGCGAGGGCTCCCATCGCGAACTCTGAACGCTGCCTAAGAGGATGAGCAAGGAAGTGAGCGGATATTCACAGATGTCGCATTTTCTTCATCGAAAATCCGCATTGGAAGGAAGGTGCACTGGCAAAGGCACAATGCGTGTGGGCCCGAAGCCTTTAAACAGTAACTATCGGTGGGCAAAAAAGGCCGTCCCCAAGGGCCTACGAGCAACATCGCGCTTGCCTGACGTCTCTGTCCCTCTTCCGTCTGCATTTTCGCAACCGTCGCGCGCCCTAAGATACTTGAGAAGGCCCCTTTTTGCCTACAATAGGGACTCTGTCTCTCTCAGAGTCTCTTAACGTACCTCAAATAACTTCAGTATTTCCACCTGAGCCTCATAAAAAAGGTCGGACCCCGGCTGAGAAACAAACTCTTTTCGCCGTGTCGGTTGTTTTCGTCCAAAATAACGCCAACCTGTAGAAGAAACATGGCACTCAGTCAAATTTAAGTCAATAAAGTAGCTCACCTCGACCCAGTCTGTTCACTACAATCGCTTGAGCAACGGCCATCTGCGTTGTTCGTATCATGCACCCCCATCCGCAGTCGCTTGTTATCTGAATATCTTACTGTGAACCTTTTTCAATGAAATTCAAGGGGTCAGCTTGAATCTGAACACTAAATTAAAGTAAATTACCGAAGAAAAAACGAAGTAAGAATGAACGGCTTCGGAGAAGCTGACAAAATATTCCTATAGATAAGTAGAAAAGTACAATCCTCCTTTCTCGCTCTAATAGCCATGTTGTGACGAATTTGACACAAAGGCAGGCGGCCAGTCGGACAGTAGTTCAACTGTCATCGGTAAACATTTGAGCGGTATCCCTACCGCGCTGGGGTCTGATCCAACCTCAGCACAGTGGGGAAACCGCTCCACCAATGACGCTGGAATCATTCGAAATGAAATGTCCCTGTGCATTTGGCATCGTTGTCCGCATTCGCAGAGAATATACCATTTTCGTCACTTGAACGGCGAGATAAAGAAGCTAGAGACGCGTGATTATTGCAACCATTGCAACCACGATTACTTTCACTCTGCAAGACAACGGCTTACAAGCGGAACGCGTGTGTACATAGCGTTGCCTGGAGCGTCGTAGGATGATTTCCCGTGCTCTTGCTTGGAACTGGTTGCACGTAGCTCTTGCCGGCGTTCGACATACTCATACAAGACGCCGATTCCACTGCAAATGGGTTTCTGTCGTTCAGAGTGTTTCCAAGCTTTTTTCGCTTCTTTCCCCTGTAGAGTCACTTATGGGCTACCGCTCCATGATTGAGCATCTACAACTCGTAACCCTAAACCGCGGCAATTGTCTCTGATCACGTCAAGATAGGCTTAATCCGCCGTGAATGAAGCGACTATCAAACGACACCTCTCACTTGAGATCCAAGCAGAGGAGGCATTCCCGTTCTGTACGTGATCCACAAGCGAGTGTAGTAGTCTCGACAGAAATCCAAGAAACCCAGGCCTGTTGGACAATCTAAAAAACAACCAAATGTGTCAATCAACTCGATAAGGAAATTTTTCACATTAGAGAGAATATCTTCCAGTCTCCATTACTCACCGCTCTCTTCAGGGCAGTAAAACTGTCCAAGAAGCACAATCATCTTCAAACCATCTGACGAGTAGTCATCATCGGACAGTTTTAGCCACTTCTCTTCAACGATTCAATATTAAAAACTATACAGTGGTAGTACCCAAATGGTTGGAGATATGCGAACCGGAATATTTTATGCTGTTCCAAGCTGAAGATATCTTATCTCGCCAGTTCGACGAAGAACTCGGATGAGTAGGCTCTGAGCTGCGCCAGTTGGCCCATGCTGAGCCGGCTCTGAAACATTAGTAATGGGAATAGAACTCGGGAGAAAAGAATTACAGACAGAAATTTAGCCTTTGCAGTTGGAAAAAAGGAGCCTTCAGAAGCTGATATAATGAAATGTCTTTCCAATGCGAGATATTACACGTCAGGATATGTCGCTTCTAGAGTCTCTAGAAAAAGCTAAAGAAACCAATGCGTGGGGCTTCTCAGAGAGGTGATGAACGTAGACCATTTCATCCTCTGCATAAACCCTCTTTTTCCGCACAAAGAGCAATAAAGTGTGACAGGAGGTTCAAGAGGGACGAAAGAGGAGAGAGGGGAGGGGGTGGAGGACCGTGCGGTGGGGGGGAGAGAGAGAAGGGAAATAACACTTATTTTCAAGTAAGTCTACGCATAATCCTAAAAGAGACCTTCCGCCTACATTGAGGAACATCTTCAGCAGGACAACATTCTCCCCCCCCTCCCCCCCCTAAAAGATCACCCTGGCTTAGGTGACCTCGCGAATGGTGCCCTGTTACAGCTGCTTTAGGTGGCAACTAGAGGGTAAGTCATCGTGTTACTGAGACAAAAGTTCTCAATCGTGGGAAGCAACAAAAAAAATGAAAAATGAATGCTAGCCGAAGTTCCACTAACTTGCGTAATTTACTTCGCAACCAACTATCGTTTCCTTCATCTTCTGGTCCAGTACTGCTACCTGGAGGGCAAAACTCGGTCGAATCCGTCAGGCTCGATCTGCTAGATGAAAAGGCGTCATCCGGTGACGACAATGGAGAAGCTAAACATCTTCTATCAGGAACGCTTTTACACAGCCCAAACCCTCATGTTTATACGAATGGAGTAGGATCAGAAGGATAAGGAGAATGCGAAACTAATGAAAGATAGGGATGGAGTCACCTTCTTCTCTCAACACAACACCATTACAGTAATCAAAATTTGTAGGTCTGCCGTTTTCAAGAGACCCTGCCATATCAGATCGTTCCATCCGTGCGCGGTTGTTAGTCCATATAAGCACTTCTAGATTTCGTACATCTGAAACGGAGAAGGCATTAACCTTTGCTGCTCACGATTTCCCGTTGTCGATAAGAAATAAACTGCGATATAGAGAATCGGCGACAAAGGGGTATACGTATCAGGGCATGCCTGGCCGCTGAGGAATTTCCCGGGAAATACGACCCCTCCCCTAATTTCCTCCTCTGCTACCCACTATCCTGCTACTTTTCCCCACTTCCTGTCAGTTGCCCCCCGAATTCCGAAAGTTTCCAGTTTGCCTCAAAGTTTTGAGATACGTGACTTAAGAATACGCCGGTGGGTCGTGGCCAAAATATAGGCGAGGGCCTGAGTGGACCGGATACAATTGGGCTTGCAAGCGCTTCTTTTCCTGAGCTTGGAGACGATAATTTCCTTCTCTTATTAAACAGCTGTGTGTTTCTACTGCTTGAACTAAGAAGTTCCGAGAGGAAGAATTAACTTAGATTGGAATTTATGCTTTTTGCAAAGGTATACATTAGGCAGAGGCGAAAAAGTGGTTATCAGGTCTTAATTTTTTTTTTTTTTTTTTTTTTTTTTTTTTTTTTTTTTTTTTATTATTTTTTTTAGTTTACGTATGATCATGAATCAACATTAAGCACACCTTGAAGACAATAGGAACGTTTACCTTGTAAACGGTGCTCCCGTCTAATATCTATTGCAGCACAACTTTGGGAAACACCGGTCCATTTCGAAGCCTTGCCTCTGTGGCCACGCCCACCCGGGTATCTAAGTGCACGCACAGCCAAAGTTTTTGTCGTAGAGCTTTGGGGATCACGAGCGTTTCACATGTGGAAGGAGGGCGGAACCACGGAAAGTCAAGAACCAGAAGAAAATTTCCCTGCGACAGGGAAAACAAATTTCCCTCAAAAATACATACGACCTCCCTCTCCCAACTACCACCACAACGACGCTCCCACACCCCACCGCGCCTACCCACTGGGATCTCCCAACGATGTGGACAGCGCCCGTGATACAGGAAGAATCAACTTCGAAAAAAAGACTAAATATGCTCCCCCTTCCAGTGACCAAATACGATCCCGCAGAGGACTCCCCAATGTAATACCTACTCTGTAATGTATGTGCCCCAAAAATTCGCGCATGAAGATAATATGTGATTTCGTGAAATCTTCGGAAACTCTACCGGCTTAAAACCACGCGTTCTTCCAAATTGCACTGGGCATAGACCGTAACCGTAATCTCTCGTCTCTGGTGTTCTCCTCCCACCTCTCTCAGCCGGTAGAGTTTGCCAGTGAGGAAAGCACAATGATTCTCTGTTACCACTATTTTCTGTTGTGAAGTGTAAGAACAACTTCCTTCTTACCAAGGCACCTATGCCATTGAGGTCGCCTCCTATATTCCTCCTTAATACCTGGGCTCGCATTGATCTTATTGGTTACAACCCGAACCACATTCCTGGAACAATTGCGTGGCACAAGCGTTTCAGTTGTTCCCTGCAGATGCCAAATTTGCCACAGTACTCTCAGTCCTGGTCCATGTTTGTTAACTTCAACATTAATAAGAAATAATGAAATATTCAACAGCAAATCCTTCTCACTTCTCAAAATGCCATGTGAATTTTGCCTTTAAAGGCAGCTGTCACGATAGTTTCCTACTAAGCCTAAAATGCTAGTAGGGCGCTGTATAGTGGGGAAATGGCGAAAGAACGGAGTGAAACAAAATCCTGCGAAGAAAAAGCCTCCGTTCTCAGTGACTTGAAAATCGATTTCGGACGAGTTTCCCGTAGGCATCTTGCCATCACCGCTACATCACGCTTCATAATTTGCTTAGCAAATGAATGAATACGAGCGTCAGGAACGGTCGTCCATTTGTGGGCGGGCGGGCGTGGCGGGCGTTTGGGACGTAATGTTGTGGCTTGATAGGGCCCTTATAAGGGCACCTTCCTCGGGGAAACCGCTATGCAGCGCCTGCCCAGGGTCGCGGAATTCTATCCTGCCAGGAGTATTGATCCTAGTCGTCTTGGGGGATTTATCGTGCCAACTGCCTTTAAGACGACGCGAAGGAGAAGATAAGAACCTTCACAGGAGGCGCACCTAAGTATTAACTCAAGTTCAATAGAACGCCAAAGTCAGTTCTTCCGCCTGTGGACACAGAGCTCTATCTGAGTTCATAAATGGATGAAATTACAATTCCACAACGCAAAAATGCTCACTCCAGCACCAAACAGTCATTACAAACAGGGGTTTAACAATAGCTGCCGGATGTTACCGTACACTCATATTAGAAATCGCTCGAACACCATCATCAAACAAGTTCATTTCATAACAATAACAGACATTTATTTGGCACTCGACACCCTAAAAACAGTACATAACAGAATCAGGTGATTGATTAAAGTGATTTTGTTACCCAAACAAATAATTACCGGAAGAAACAACACTATTTAATTACACCTTCGGCGCCTTAGCCTTGGGGGAGGGGGGGACAAGTCCGTAAGCTCTCGCGCAATCATGTCGTCATACAAACATGCACAGTCGTGCGAACAGTGTACACGTGAATACCGGACAATCATGCGCACCCTGCAAGTCCTGTAAATACCTGTCAAGTACCCTGTAAACTCCTGTCAAGCTCTGGGAAATGGTACCAGCGTCACTGGAACTCCTTTCTAATGTGACCACCTTGACAAGTTTGACATGAGGTTACAGGGCGATTTATAGGTGATAGCAATGCTTGGAAGGTGTTGACAAGGTTATTCGGTATCCACATGTATACAGTCCACAAGATTTACACGAGGGCTGACAAGCGCTTAAGGGCATGCACCCCCTCCCAAAGGTAACCAGCGCTTAAACGCAAATAGGATAAATCATTACATAAAATAGCTAATCACACACTTCTAACAGAGATTTCTTGTTTAAAGGTAGGAATATTTCATTGTGAACAAAATGCTCCATTTTTTGACCGGGACATAACCCATTGTTCAGCTCAGCTTCGCAGAAAAACACGTTTTTCGTGATATCTTTGCCATTATAAAGAAACCGAAGAAATATTGCGTCCTTCGCGGACGGGCTGTCCACTAGCTCATAAAACTGCAAAAAACATTACAAATAATTAGAAAAACATTCAAAGAAGAAATGAGCTGATTTTACCTCGAAAACTAGACGTGATACATAGTGTGGTGGATCTATGAATGGTACTTTTAGTACCATTAATATCGGCGCCAGTGTTACATCGTGACCAGAGAAGATCTAAAATTTAAACTGTAGAGCGAATACTATCTTTGCACTGTGTACAAGCAATGATAGGACCTGCGCAGATTGTCAAAATGGAATCAACAGGTCTGAGACGCGAGCGGAAGCGGCGCGGCATCCGCGACCGATGGGTAACGCACAACGTATGTACGTCCATGCATAAAGATGAACCACCTTGTCGCCCGAGGCCTAACGCGCTTGATAGAAATACAGCGCATATACCAGCACTGGTGTGAGGAGTGTCTACGGACTTAGTTCAGAGCGTCGCGGCGGTGGTCGGCTCAGGGAGTTACATGAAAGGTGTGCATAAGACAGTACTGACTCAACTCAACACAACGGAACTCAGGGTTCACATATAACTCCCTGGGCACGCCTTCTTCAAGCGCCAAGGTGTGGACTTAATCAGGGAATAAGCTTTTACAATAATCGTACCTGAATGCTATTTGTATGAGGGAATCTTCTTAGATTTGCGATGGTTTCAGCTACATGATAAAGAACTCCGTAAGCTTCTACTAGATTCAATTTTTCCACAACATAGCGCGAACCTTCTTCATACATCACTTTTTTACGAGTTGTCGTTTCATTTAGAAGCTGAAAATACACAACATCTCAACAAAAATAAACGAAAAACGCTTGTGATTTCTACCTGGCTTAGGAACTCGTAGCTCAAACAGTACGACTTTCCGAAACAAGGGAGGGCTTTCCGACGGCACACATACCTGAAAATGGGGAGCTAGATACGTTGAGTGAAGCCAGTTCTGTTCATAAAGTTCTCTTTTGATGTGATGAAGCGGTACTCTGCGCCACTGGGAATAGTGAGATTCGCAAAAAGTAAAGACTTTTCATCGATTGACCTCTGTTTTTCCTATTATCTACCCAGGCAAGATCAATGGGTACGTATCTTGAATGGCGCAAAGAATGAGCGCGGCCTAAGACGCGAACGCTCAGGCTGCGTTCATTCTTTGCAGTACCTTGCTGCAGCCAGCTTCCACTACAATCTACGGCACGGCAGCTTCCGAGCGAAAGCCAGCGCCAGTAACTGGAAAATATAGATATCGATCTAATGAATGTCAGCGCTCACCAACATCCACCAGCGGACGACGTTTCGCTGGCACTTGAACCCGAGCAAAACTGACCGCGAAAACTCTAGCACGCTCGCGTTCGCTGAAATCGATACCTATACTTTCCTATTCGCTAGCGTTTGCCCAAAACGCTGCCATACGCTGGTAGACGCTGCCGCGAAACCTTACTGTGTCTGATTGATGTGTTGAGACAAAAAAAAACAGTGAATTGAGGGTGACTGCGCAAGATGACTTCGATGTCGCTTCGTAACTGTGCGCGGCTGTGGTTGTCGGAACCAGAGCTAGTTTTCTTCAACTAAGGGACCGATAACGAAGTGGGAACTCCAATATTACCTCCCAAGAGCAACGTCGATTATTTGGAATGGATCCTTGGCATGGAAGAAAGCGCTCTGAGTTCTAACCACGTCTGCTTCTCTTCTCAGCTGCGCTGGCGAACGTTGAACGAAATACTCGTACCGCTCCTGAAAAAAACAAGAATAAAAACGATAGAGTTTTCAGCGCTGATCAATCCTTCTTTGGGATGCCCCATGCATTCAACTGCCACTCGTGGTCGAAGTGAAATTTTGCATGCCATTTGGCACGCATAATGTGAGGGGGGGGGGCAGTTTATAAATCAGTGTTTCTGTAGTCCCAGGCAAGTTTGGTACCGAAGGAACCACTGTGGACGGAAGGCTCGCAGTAGTGCATGAATGATTTGGTTAGCGTCTGCGGACAGCAAGCGATCCTATATATGACCCCAAGACAGGGCGCTTGGTGAGCGAACCACTAGTCACTACACCAACTTTGCTGCTCAATAGAAAATGCATCTAGAATAATATCGGAATGCCCAACTCAGAACTCGGTCACTTACCTTCTCGAACTGGCCTCTCCATCTTTTCGTTTTATGGCACGCGCAATTCGGACTAGCACACAGAAATGTGAAATTTGAAGCCTGTAAAAGCACTAACAAGCATAAAATAAATGGAACCACTTTTACAAAGATAAAAAACTTTGATAAAGGTAAAAAACTTTGATAAAGGTAAAAAAATATACAGGGCAGGGACAGGCTCGTCAGGATACCATGGTAAAACCTGTCAACTCCTGTAGGCTCATTAAATAGCTCATGGAATGAATATCAACGTGAATTTGAAAGAACTGTGACCTCCACAAACTTTACCAGGTATCATTCCGAGAAGGGTCACAAGATTTCAAAAGTCTCCATTTGATGGCTCTACACGTCACTCTGAAGTAGCAAAAGAGCAAAAATCCCTCTCCACCCCACCCCCTTCCCTGTGTCCCAAAGGTCGCGAATCGCGACAGCTATTGTCACTTACCTGATGTATACTGCGGTTACAGACAGTTTTATTATGGTGCAACAAAACGAAGGACGTGAATGCTATAGCAGATTGAAGCGTCCGATTATATCGTGAAGACACTACAGTGACGTTAAGTCGAGAATCTGAAATAGTGATTATGGCGCCTTCAGAAGCCGTCGCGGAGCAATTAAAACACTGCAAACTGAAATTCCCACAATTCCGCATAGATCGAGCGAGATTGCCTTCTATCTAAACCAAAGGCCACACTAATCCTACTATATATAATCCGCTAAGTTTGTCTGTTGGTGTGTGTGTGTGTGTGTGTGTGTGTGTGTGTGTGTGTGTGTGTGTGTGTGTGTGTGTGTGTGTGTGTGGTGTGTGATGTTATGTTGTGGAGCTGTCTGTATGTGTGTTTGACCGGAAATTCATAACTTCCTTCAAAAGAGCGATAGAGCCCTCAAACTGATAAGTAATGTAGGGGGTCGTGCACGAACATTATTGGTCGGTGGCAGGGAGTGATAACAGTTGATAAGATACCATAAGGAGCCTTAGAAGGTAACGGTCACCAATTTCACAACCGCGCGTCACAGCCAGCGGTAGCAGCGTTCGGTTCCAAGAAGATTAAGGTAGGAGCGGACAGAGATGGGAACATTATTGGTCCGGGGTGGCAGGAAAGTGATAGGCAGCCAATAAGATACCAGAGAGCCTTTAAGAAAGGGGAAGTTCAGAGCAACATCATAACCGCCGCGCTCACTAGCAGCGGTAGAACGTCGGTTCTTAAAAGTAAGGTAGAGGACAGGAAGGGGACATTTTCGGTGGGTGGCAGGAAGTGATAACAGCTGATAAGATACCATAAGGAGCCTTAGAAAGGAATGGTCACTAACACCATAGTGCGCGTCACAGCCGCGGGGTCGAACGTTGTTGCAAGAAGCCAATAGTATGGAGCAGGAATAGGAACATTATTGGTGAGTAGCAGGACCTGATAACAGCCGATAAAGTACCATAGGGGGCTCGCTTCAGGAAGGCCCAATAATTCAATGCAAGAGTCGGAGCAACAACTGCATCTTTGCTATGCCTGCGACTGAACTTGACCCATCGTGGTCCAAGAATTAAGGGCCTAAACATTCAGTGGCAGAGATGTTTCTTTTTCTTTTTTTTTTGTTCTCTATCCCCTTAGGATGTAGTCGAAGTTGATCCGACCGCTAAACTCTCGAGTCGCCAATAGACCGATATGTGAAAGCTGCTCACGGAAGAATTAGGATGTTAGAACACTTCACTATGATTTCGATATTGTTACAATTGAAACTATTTCAACCGCTAAGTTGCCTCATTTCCAACGAATGGTGAGTGTTGTGATAAGCACCATACGTTGGCAAAATGTTCATTAAAGAGGAGAATTATGATGATATGAGCCGTGTTTTGAAGCATGGGAAAAAAGGCGAAGTTTTAGGGGCCACCACAAAAATTCTGCCATTGTTCAGTACCATAGGTTTAACAATTCGCGCAGTAATGCGCGTCAGCCAAACTGGTAGTTAGAAAAAAATCTTAAAGTTCAAAAGTAACCTGTTGAAAAAATATTCGATTCCATATATTTCTCTCTCAAGTATTTTCCAGACTTCACGTGCTGCAGAGCACCCTCAGCTGTCATTTGTCCAGCGGAACAATGCGCTCTGAAACGCACAGGGTAAAGGACAAAAACTGAATAGCCCTTCTCCAGTACATGGAAATGTATCTGCCACCTACCCAATGATAAGACTCTATAGCACAACATCGCTGAGAAATCTTCAACAAGGGTGGGGCATATTTGACTCGTTGGGCGGGGGAAACCAGAGTTGCTGGAAGCATGTATCAAGCTGCGTTCATACTTGGGTCGGCATTTCTAGCGTCCTTCAGCGCCAGCGACTAGGAAGATATAGATAAATCAAGCGTTCTAAGCGTACTCCCGCATTTTGAGCCAATTCGCGGAAAAAGGTGGTGTAAGCTCATAACGCTAGATCGATTCCCGTACTAACTAGTCGCTCAAATCGCTGACACAGGCTCAAAACGCTGACGAAAAGTATGAACACAATCTCAGCACCAAACGGTGTAGGAATATCAGAAAATAAGGATTTTGTCACTGGTCGAAGAATAGTGTATGCCACTGCCTCCTCCGGCCTCTTAGGTCCCTTAGGTGAGAAAGGGGAATGAAGCTGGCGTAGCGAGTTGAAGGGAATCATACTTGAGGCGATAGTTCACGAGGGAAGGGATCGTACCGTCGCGGCTGCATACATACTTCATCCATATGATCGGTCCTCACTCGAGGAAAACCGACACCTTTCAATGAAATAATTGAAGTTACGGAGAATTTCCCTGCACTTCCACCTAGTTCAAATCAAAGGATAAAAACCCGCAGCGGATTTTGTCCAGACCAACCGATTGTTCCATCGCCAGCTCCTATAATTGGTCTGCGTGGGACATAGGTGGTCAAAAACACCTGCTTGCACTAGGATTCTCGACAGAAACGCACTGCATGGCGTACCCCAGAAGGCATTGCTGCCTGGGAATTACTGTCGCTTGACTAACAGTGAATAACCGAAACGGAATGGGAAAATATCGGTAAAACTATCACTTACAATGACGGGATTTTGGTGAGGTTTCCAAATCTCACGTCGGTTCGCAAAAAGAAATTGAAATCGTCACTCTCTATCAGTTTTTTGTACATTTCGAAATCCTGCCGATCTTGTTCTCTGAACGGAAGGCACCCAGCTGCATCCTCCACGGTGTGCAATGGAGATCTGTAAACAATACAAATATATGTTCTGATTAACTGCAAGGTTTAATCCAGCCCACAAGAAAATCGCAGCTACTAGAAGAGCCACTGTTATGACGGTAATGTAGTTCTGAGGAGAGGGGCGAAGGGAGGGGGGGGGGGGGCAGCGCCTTTCCCTACCTTCTCCGAGGCCAAGGCGAGCGTAACCGCGGAGAGGGCAACTAGATATGTCGCAAACACCTTCTGGCGCATGACATGTGCCAGAAACCCAAATGATTCAGCGAGACAATGCAAAATCGACTAGCTCAGAAACAGCTCGCTCCTTCGCGCGCGACGAATGCCCCGAACTATGCCCGGCTTACAAATTACTATTTTTGTCAAGTCCGTCCCTTCTACGTCCTTATTTTGTCAACCCTTCCCCACTGATAAGACCCTTACTCCGTCGCTCTGCTTCACTCATGAGTTTCCGGAGTTGACGAAATAGGAAAGGTTTGTCTGCGGGTCAGGGACGAAACAAACCAGTTGTCTTTTGTAGAAGTTTTTCTACTCACGTCAATTTCGTTTTCTTCTTAAGCCTACATGATCTGACCTCGCGGGGGGGAGTCTCGCAGGGTAGGCATAGTCCCAAGGCCGCCTGTGCCTCCTCCAGCTACATACTGTACATTGTTTTCGTGCAATGATTGTTTTTCTATATGCATCCTGTTGCAGCTACTATTCAAACCAAAGTGGTCAGGAGATCCGAGTTGCGGCGGCGCAGCGAAAGGCACACGCGACACTGACTATGAATTATCATGCCGCCACTCGCGTACTGATTTGGGCAGTGTTCATAGATCGCGACTAGAGCGCTATAGGTGCCAGTTCCAGCTCTGGCTGATCGCGCCCCATCGCTAATTGTTGGATTACATCAACTGCTAGTTCAACTCTACTCAGTCCTAATCAGTGCAGAACTCCTTTCGACCTTTGCAGGCGTCCAAAAATTAGCGGTGGAGCGCACAACATGAAAGCTCCTAAAAAATCCCAATCCTCACCTTTCACCATGTCGGAATACTACAGGTAACGCCTCTCAGTCGAAAACGTTCATCATTAATCTGACCCTCCTCGCCCTGCCAATCGCGTTCCAAGAACTCGCACATCTCACTCCATTCAGCAGGAACATCATAACGCGTTTCTGTGGGAAGGTTTTCGCTATTTGAAGATTCCGTCGCTGGACCTACTGAAAAAGAGCACCACTGACCATCAATAGTTATGGAAAAAAAACAAAAAAAAACATTTCATTACAGGTTTTCTCTAACCCGGGTTTCCGTCGTGAATAACCTAGCTTACCAGCGAGAGCATAGTAAAAGCTGATGAATAGAAAGAGCTGGCTGGCCGGTAATTGTACCCACATGGAGACGACTGCAAACTAACTTATGGGACACGACACTCGGACGGATCGGCCAACAGAAAAACTCGTGAAAAGGATTCCAATTGTTCGTTTAGGAATTACAATTACTGTTTTAACACATACTTAGCGTACTATGAACTTGTTTTTGCCTCTTTCACATTGAAGCTATAGCAAATGGATTAGAAGAAAAAACAACAAGGAACAGCCAAAGAACATATCAGTCCAAAGAAAAACAGCATGAGTCTGAAGTCTCAGTCCACCAATCTGCGGCTTTTTTCCCTAACGCAAGTCGCTGTAAAAGGAATAAGGAAATAAAAGAGCACCTCAGAGAGGAGATTCAAATACGGGGTCCAAAAAAGGGTGGACAGAGCGCAGAACAGGATAGGAATTTTTGAGTATTCCAGTGCTATAATACCTACTGTGCATCACTGAAAAAGGTGCAGGCAACTAAGTTTTTTT